GTGGTCGTTTTTGTCGCGCTGCTGATGACGTCAGGTACGCGCTTTAATCGGGCGCGCTTTAGTGGACCGCGGTTTTGTCGTGCCACGGCAAAAGGTGATCCCATGACCCTGGGGCATTGCAACTGTCATAAATATGAGTCACTTGCCAGGGATCTGAATTTTGATCACTTGGCCATAGGGATCTTGCAACAGTTTGTGTGAAAAACAGTCATAAGTCACTTTTTCCGGTGCTGTTATAACTTTGAATAGTCATTAAACGAAGTGTTGTAAATCAAGGGTTACCTGCATACCATATGCCACCTGAAGCAAAAAAACCAACAGCTTTTTCCTCCCGATAGTACATGTTTTCTTTCAAGCAACACCATTACAGCAGGTTTGCTGCTTAATCTTTTATTGCTAAGAGTTCAGAAATATTCTCAGTACCTCAAAATCACAAAGCAGATCCTGAAAAGCAGTTGAATTGGGAATGATGGATGTTTCGTGTCCGCTGTCCACGGTCCCCACTAAAGAAAAGGTCAGGTGTAGAATGTGGCTGTTCAAGAGACAACGCTTCTTCTTTAACAGCATGGCCAACAACTGGAATGGAGAGGGAACCACAGAGAGATGTTGAAGCGCAAGGTTTCTTAATGCTGTAATCTCAAAGCATTGTGCAGACTGACAGAAACATTCATTTCATCCTAGCACAGAAAAACAGTCATTACCCAAACTAGGTAACATCATCAGCGCTAATAAGGAGTGGGGCTTGCTCTCGGTTTATATTCTATAAAATGGTTATTACCGTATTTTTCGGAGTATAAGATGCACCACAGTTAAGACGCACCAAGGTTTTGAAGAGGCAATTTTTTTTAAAAAAAGTTTTTGCATTCTGCAGATCCCCCCAAAACGGGCCTGTTTTTTGTCAATAAAAGAGCATGAATAGCCTTTAGGAGGCTTATAGAGTGCTCCTGGGGAGTGGGGGACAAAATTGAGCAAAAAATGGCTGTTTTTTTGCTCATTTCTGCCCTTTCCAGCCCCCAGGAGCACTCTGCAAGGCTCCTAAAGGCTGTGCATGGTCATTTTGGTGAAGGGGCGGGGTTTCGGGAGGCAAAAAATGCTATATTCAGTGTATAAGACGCATCCAGATTTTCAGGCTCTTTTTTGAGGGAAAAAGGTGCATCTTATACTCCGAAAAGTACAGTACCTAGAACAGGGGTGTCAAATTCAAGGTCCGGGGGCCAGATCCAGCCCACAGGGTACTTAGATCTGGGCCGCAGGGCCGCCCTGAAAACAGCGAAGGACTGGCCCGCAGTCCCTCTGCCAGTGAAAACGGAGCTCAGGAGGGCTGCCCACGGCCCTCCCGAGCTCCATTTTTGCTGGCAGAGGGTTGCAAGAGGCCGTTGCAGCCGAAAACGAAGCCCGGGAGCCCCTTTTCACTGGCAAAGAGCTCGGGCCACCACAGGCGTCCCTGATACAAGTGACGCCAAGCTGGCCACGCCCACTCTGGCCACGCCCACTCCAGCCCCCTGAGGTCAAACACAACCCTGATGCGGTCCTCAATGAAACCGAGTTTGACACCCCTGATCTAAAATATAAACTGAGAGCAAACCTACTCCTTACTGACACTGATGACGTTATCTAGTTTGAGTAATGAAATGTCTGCAAGAAAACAACGAAGCTCAGTGAGCACCAAGAACCCCTCATTTCAACCCTGAGCTACAAATATTCTCCTTTACAAGCTTTCTTATGTAAAAAAAAAAAAGGGACCTCCAAATTTATAGTAAATAGTGGCGAAAAAAACAGAAATGAAACTGAAACTAACCCTGACATAATAGTGACTGAGAAGTGAAAGAAGGAAATTATCTGATTCTTGCTTCTGAATTGTTCAAAATCCCTATTTTTTAGAAAGAAAAATAAATAAATTCAATGGAGAGAAGGAAATGTAACTGCCAGGGCACTTTATAATTAAAGTCTTTGACTGATTAGGTGAATGTAATTTTTTTAAAAAGGTCAGGCCTTTGAAAAGCAAGGGTTTTCACTTCTCCGAATCCATTTTCTTGAAATTTTGGGAAACTTTTTTTTTTTGCATTCTTAGAATTAAATCATTTCTATTTGATGTATTAATATCATGGGCATTTTATATATATTTGTGTCATTAAATATGTATCTATATATTTATAGTACTAGCACTTAGACTTATATACTGCCTCATAGCGCTTTACAACCCTAAGCAATTGACAGAGTGAGCATATTGCCCCCAACAATCTAGGTCAGAGGTGTCAAACTCACATTGTCATGGCATGATGTATCTCAACTATTTTCCCCTTCGCTAAACTGGGAGGGGGCGTGGACAGCACATGACACATCGGGGCCGTGGGCCACGAGTTTAACAGCCCTGATCTAGGTCTTCATTCTACCAACCTCGAAGGAAGGAAGGCTAAGTCAACCTTGAGCAAGTCAGGATCGAACTGCTGGCAGTGAGCAGAGTTAGCCTGCAATAGTGCCTTCTAACCACTGCATCACCCTGGCTCTTCATATATTATATATATTATGCCTTAATTCTGATGGCAAATTTATAATTTAATTATTATTCTCATATTTCTTTAACTTTTCGGATGACAAATTGAGAACTGACGCAGCCAGATCACTAATGTAGTGAACTGATAATGTCAAATTAAATTCTCGGTTCATTTGGGGTGAAAAAACAACAACCCCCCTCTCATTCTGCCAACCTCAATTTAGAAGCTGAAGCTCATTCCAAATCATGCAAATACATACTGCTGGATGCTATCTGGCTTTGGATTAGAACAATTAAACCTTTTCTTGGGATAGAAAAACCTTCCCATTTTGCAGGAAAGGTTTCTGCCGCGTACCCGAATGAAATGTTACATTTTGCATCAATTATATAAGGAAAACCACTTCCAGTAAATGTCCTTCAACGGACACAGATGGTGAAGTGCCCTTGATCGCCCCAGCAATAAAGCTTCCATTTGTTTCTCTTCGGGATCCTATCATGAGTGCTTCCTTTCAATCTGGCAAAAACGAAATGTCTCTGCTGAGCTAGCAGCTGCCTCAATTGCAAATCCATGATATCGTGCTGTCGCTACTTGAAATTTGTGCAATACAATTTGTCAGGGAATTGTGCAGCAACTGTCCAAAGGAAGTCAGAGATCCTGACACAAACTTGTAGGGTTTTTTTTTAATATAAATAAATATATTTCACATTTATATTCCTAGCAGATGAGATAGGACGGAACCTCATGGGCTAAATCAAACAGCATATGGAAGAAAAAGATGGGGGGAAAAGGGAAACTCCCCCTTTCAATCCACAGCAGCCAATCACAGCGTCGATTGCCTCGCGCATGAGCCAGCGCTCTCCAATCAATCAGATATACAACTGTGTGTTCTGGCCCATGGCACACTTTTAGTGTTCCAGCTGCTAAATTTAATATTCTAATATACCGGTAGTTAATTTTCCCACTCTTCCAAACCTGCGATGTGCATCTGATTCTAAGGTGAAATTCAATGACTTTCACCCAAATGTGGTCTGCGCAAGCAGTTTTGTTTATCTTTACCCGCACCTGGTAACCTCTGATTCTTTCCATTTCTTTGCTAGCGAGAGGGTTGCTCTTGACCACACACACGAGGGCCTTCACAGCAGCGTAAAGTCCTTCGACGTCCGACGCCATGGCTACTAGGCCCAAAATAGCAGCCGCTCCACCAATGTACTGCAGGGTAGTTGCAACAGGCTTAGGGACAAATGTTCTTACCCCTGCATGGAGGTGGCAAAATGAGATGAAAACATCAGTTTTACAGGATAGTCATCAACTTAATTGTTACTTCAAAAATAAACAAAACAGCAACTATTCCATTCTTCCTTTATCTTGCCTTATTTAAAAATAAATGAAAAACAAACAAACACTAAACACATCATATATGACTCTTGAGTTGTTGGAATTACATTCCTCATCCTGTAGAGCTTGCTAGTAACAGAGGATAAAGCCAGATAATAAGTTCAAACTTTTTACATTCATATATGTATTCAGATTCCTAACAGATGTATAGAGGCTCTTCTCTGCGGAAAACAAAAGGAGCTACTGTCCTTGTTTATCGAATATTCAGCGATGGTCAGAAGTTGAGAGACCGCCTGCTGCCAATTACCTCCACTAGACCGATTAGATCCCACAGATTAGGCCTCCTCCGAATTCCATCC